TAATTTAATACCAGTATGAAAAATCCCCGAAGATAAACTGGGCACCATGGGGGAAAAAAAAAAAGAAGAGTATCAGAACAATTTTTATTGGTGTTTTAGTCTTGGAACAAACCAAAACAACATCTGCATTAGTTAAGCATATTTGGCTAAGAAAATCAGTAGTTTCCTTGTATACATTTTATTAATTCTCTTGAGTATTTTTTGTATTGTTTGCACTATTGCAGTTTATGCAGGACAAGATAATGTGTGATGACAGCCACTAGAAGAAAGTTAGAACTGTTTGGCTGAGTAACTGCAAAACTCAAAGCTAAGCTTGGGTAAAGGCAGTGCTATTATAAGAGAGAAGTGCTGCTGAAGTCTGTAGTTGTGGTGTTAATACATCTATAAACTATTTGTTTTTACAGTCTCTTAAAATGTTATACATTATCTGTTAATGACTATGGCTAATATTCTCAATGTGGTGCTCCAATGAAATGCTTCTTATCCAGCTTAAAAGAGGCTAAGAGTTCCTGTGGTGGCACCTTCAAAAGGTTGAAAGAGCTCACTCTAATTATACATGCATCTAGCCCTTTCGCGCCCTTGAGCATTGCAGGGCATTTATCAACATGTACAATAATTAATTTCTATGTTTTTGCCAAGAAGGGAGATTATCCAGGTTATCAGCAATGGTCTTCCCATTCATCAACTACTATAACTTTTCTAACCAGAAAAAAATAATTAAAAGACTGTATCCAACTGAAAAACTACTGCAATAACCAGTGAGTAAAAAGTTCACAGACTGATGTGTCTTAGAGAACAGAAAAGTTCTGTGTTAATTATAATTTAATGCTACTTATAATGACACGTGTTATTTATACACATACTTACTTTCATTTCTTTTAATGTTTCCTTTTTTTTATTAATTCCTTTTTATAGACTTAATGTTTAACTACTAATAGGAAGGCATATGCATTCATAGTATATAGGAACTATTAGAATACTCAACAACCATTACAGTATGTGAAGTCTCTTTCTTACATTGTTCGGAAAAGGAAAAAAAAAAAAAAAGCGCAATATTTTTTAAGAAACTAACATACAGAAAAAGAAGTAAGTTAATGTCTCCATTAAATCTGAATCAGGACTAAAATCGGTAACATTCAATCCAATGGGAATGAAATTGTGATCACAGGAGGATTTGCAATAAAATGTACCTGAAAAAAAAAAAGGTACTTTCATATATTTAACTTTCACTGCTTGAAACATTGCAAAAAAAAATCCGTGAAAAGATAAAATTCCTAAAACTATTTTCAGAGCAGCTGATTTTCTCACCTACTGGGTGTTCACTTGTCACTTGTGCGAAGGGGTATCAACCGCACTGATTCATCCCTGTCTACGGAACTGCACCTTTTTCCCTGTGAATCATTTTGTACACTCCGATGGTTTTACTATTATGGCACATGGATCAGATTTTCCAGTACATTCAGTACATCTGCAGTCACATCAGGGATGTATATTATAGCAGTTTCTCCATAGTGGTAACGTGCACTCAATTTGCAATGTCTGTGGAGGAAAAATCTAGACAAAGTGCTAAATCTCAGCAGCAACACATGAATAAGTATATACCCACCAGATAATCCAAATTCTAGGTAACAAACATCTTTCAGTAAAGCTGGTAATTGTCCCCAGGATAAACGCCCTGGATTCTAACTAGAAGATCAGTCAAGCATACATTCATCAACAGAACTTGGAAAGGCATGTGAGGTTCAAGGATTTTTTGGAGGAGTGATAATTTTCAATTAAGAAAAAGTGAAAGATATAGAGTATTTAGTCACAAACATTAAAATAATCAAGAGAAAATTTTGTTTTGGATTGGGTGATACTGTGCTGAAACAAGCATGTATAGCAGCCAGACATTATTTTTGATAAATACAACAAATAACTAAAGGCCCAAAAGAGAATTATATCATTATACAAAACAAATTATGTGCAAGGCATATGTGGGTAGGGAAGGTTTCACTGCATGCAATCTGGAGTCATTAGTCCCCAAAAGAAACCACAAAGTTGAGACATAGGCAGTCACATGCCAAGGACATGCTCTTGAAATTTCCAGGAACTGATCCCTGAGAAGAGCATGAAGAGCGCTTTGGGCTGAGAACTAGGTAAAAAGGGATTGGAACAGTGAACCAACCCCTGTTGTTTGGTTCTGCTGTGTTCAGAGAAGTAAATTCTTTCATATATACAAATTGCAGAAAGAAATATTCAACTACAGTATAATTCATTTCTGTAGGAGAAACAGCCTAGTGAACCTGGACTCTCAACTTTTTCAGTCATGAAGGTATCACATTAGAATCATTCTTTTTAAAAAAAAAAACAGTCGAAATATGCTATATAATCTATGATTCTACATAAAAACTATTCATATCCAAGCATCACGCACAATAGTTCATGACAAAATAAATTAAAAATGCCTTTTGTTTTATATAACAGGATGTCAGAACTGCCAATAAGCAGCCTGGGTCTCCACAGTCTGCCAGGTAGGGGCAGTGAATCTCACAACAGGCTCTAGATATTTTCCCCTAGTGAGAAATAGCAAGCTTCCACTGTGTACTTGTCTGTAATTTATGCAGTTCACTACCAGATAGATATAAATCCTGCCAATCAGATTACGGAAGAATCATCAACCAGTCATCTAACAAACTTCTTCTCTAGCAGTATCAAATACATGATTTTACCCAGCAGATATTCTGAAACTTGAAAGTTTCAGAAGTCAGCAATCTCTTCTGGCTTCATCTAAAAGTTCGGCTATCTAGATTTAATGGGACTTTTGAACACTTCGGTCAGCTGTAATTTGTCAAAATTTAATAGGCATATTTATATTACACCTTGTATTCGGTCTGTGTGCCACACATGCATGAAACCCTGGTCTCTAACGTCCTATTGCTTTTTCAGAATTATACCTCATTCTATGCCCAGTATGAGTGTGTTCAACTAATGATATGCTAGTCACTTATTGCTAGTTACTCTCATTGTTCAATGTACAAGCCCTTACCGTACTTAGGTATTTACGCTACAGCCTCTTACCTTATTTTTTATTTGCACCTGCCATGAAGATAAAATTATTGTGCTCCTAATTCCTATGATGTTCATCACTATGCTACCAAAGGCATCAACGCACATATGGTTACAACATCTGTCTGAGCTAAAAGGATAGTTTTATTCCCATTTTACAAAGGGAAGGTGACGCATGGCAAAATAAACCATGCATTTTTATAATTACTTGCTTATGGTTGCCATTTGAGAGAGATCCACCAGACTTAATTTTTCAGCATGTTTAGCATACATTTATATCATATGGTTAAAGCACAGGTCCCAGTGGCTTTCACTATAGCAACTTGCCTAAAATCCCATAGGAACTTTACAAAAGACTTGTGGATGTATTCAACTTTCCTGGAAAGCATTCAACTGCTTTCAAAAAGACACAATCCTCAACTCAGCCGTTACAAATGTTGCCACAGGTGAAGGTAGGTATAGACAACAGCCTCCTTCACTTCATGACCTTTCAAAATATGCCTTAACAGACGGAGAGAATCCAGCTGGTAAAAAGACTTGGTCCAATAATTTAAGGCTATATCATTATGTATATTCAGAAAGTGCAATAAGATAACCCAGGACATACAAACAATCTTAATTGTAGCATTAACTAACATTCAAAGTCACTGTATAACTTCATAGATCTTTTAAGGTAGTTTGGAGTGTATAACTTCTTAGATTTTTTAAACAAAATTGAAAAACAATTTTTATCATATCATTTTCTCTTGTTTGTCTGAGGAGATGGAAAAGCCTTGTATTTAGAGAGTGGCTGGAAAGCTGCCTGGCAGAAAAGGACCTGGGGGTGTTGGTTGACACCCATCTGAGTATTAGCTGGCAGAGTGCCCAGGTGGCCAAGAAGGCCCATAATATCCTGGCTTGTATGAGTGCGGCCAGCAGGACTAGAGAAGTGATTGTCCCCCTGTACTCGACACTGGTGAGGACACACTTTGAATGCTGTGTTCAGTTTTGGGAACCTCACTACAAGAAAGACATTGAGCTGCTGGACCGTGTCCAAAGAAAGACAACAAAGCTGGTGAAGGGTCCAGAGAACACATCTTATGAGGAGTGGCTGAGGGAACTGGGATTGTTTAACCCAGAGAAAAGGAGGCTGAGGGGAGACCTTATCGCCCTCTAGAACTACCTGGAAGGAGGTTGTAGTGAGGTGGGTGTTAGTCTCTTTTTCCAAGTAACAAGTGATAGGATGAGAAGAAATGGCCTTAAGTTGCACCAGGGGAGGTTTAGATTGGCTGTTAGGAAAAAATTCTTCGCTGAAAGGGTTGTCAAGCACTGGAACAGGCTGCCCAGGGAAGTGGTTGAGTCACCATCTCTGGAGGTGTTTAAAAGACGTGTAGATGTGGTGCTTAGGGAGATGGTTTAGTGGTGGACTTGGCAGTGTTAGGTTAACAGTTGGATTGGATGATTTTAAGGGTCTTTTCCAACCTAAATGATTCTATGATTCTATGATTCTATGAGTGGGTGTATACAAACCACAATTTTTGAAACGTTTACCTCTCAATCAGTTCTGGGCTCATTTTTACAGCAAAGAAAAAGAAGATACACTGTAAATTTGGCCTGTGTATCAGGTTCCTGCTCCAAATAACAATCTTGTGTTTATTAAATCTCAGCAAACAAAAAGTCAGCAGAACATTTTTAAAGGGCATTATTACTTTTCTCCTACCTTCTTTCCTTGGAACACCTCAGAATTTTTGATGCAAAACAAAAAAGCCTCAAATCAACACAAATTGAGCCTAAATAATTAAAACACATCAAAACTGGAACCGACAACCATATTTTATCACAGTAATGTGAAGGAACATAGTAACAGAAGCAGAAACAATAATTTAATCTCAGACCTTTCCCCACATAATAAAAAATACATTATTAAAAAGGAACTCATTAACATAGAGTAAGTGTTAAGAATGGAAACATACACTGCTTTCCTTTTTCTTCGTATGGTGAGAAGCATACCCTTGTACTGGTGTCATTTTCAGTTTTGTTTTCAAATTGAGAGCACTTCAGGAATTCTGGCCAAGAAGCATTTACCATACCCAGGACTGGTTCACAGCCTTCTTTTGCTGCCTCACAAAATGTCTTGCAGGGCAAGAGGCCTCGACTGGGGAAAAGAGATAGAGAACAAAAATACAAAGGATTATTACTCTAGTAGATTGTGAAAACTTTCTTAAAAGATAAAAAAGTAATAATAAAGACTTTTGAAGAACTTTATGTTCTACAGAGCTATACCAAAAAGGTGCCAAATCTTCATTATTCATTGAAGGTGACATCTGCTCAGGCTTTCAGGCTAAATTTAAGCCCAAATCAAGCTCAAAACAGTTTCTAAGTTCAACTCTGTGCAAGCTGAAGCTGAGATTTCATCAACAGCTGAACCAATGTAATGGTGTAGTGACACCAGGACACTGGTGATCAGTGACAGGAGAAAGCTTGCTTATTCATCCTCTCCTTCCTCACAAATGTGCAGATCTACCCCTCTCTGACTTTGGCAAACATTTTCATGAGCTTATAAAAAAGCCATTAACTTGGAAAAAAAACTTTTGACTGGGTAAGCCTTCTGACAATTTAAGTGTGATGAATCTGCTTAGGGAGAGAAGCAACAACCACCAGACATAAACTGTAGGAACTCAAGAGTGGAGAGCACTTTATCAACCCCTTTCAGCATTTAGAAGCTCTTACACTATTTCCCCAAGCAGTCAAAACACACTGAGTGTCAGATCAAATGCAATAAATATCAACATGACTTGAATTGTATTTTTTTAAGAAAAGCATTAGAAATTAGCAATTTAAAAAGTATAACAAGTTTAAATGCAGCATACTTGTCTACTTCTTATTCTGATATATATATCTGCATATGTATTTTTTCTTTATTGTTCTTTTACATGTACATAGGAAAACCAATTAAAATAGTTATAAACTGTCTCCAGGTCTACATAATTCGAGTCAACAAAGTCAAGCAAAAAATCTTGAAAATCTATTAACATGTTTACTGTAGATCTGGAAAAGGATAAAAAGAGTAAAGTTACAAGATTACAGGTAACACAATGCTAGCCAAGTTAGTCAAGATTTGAAAAGACAAGAAATTTCAGAGAAGCCTCAGCCAAGTTAGATGATATGTGGCAGCTGTAATTCAGGATAGACTACTGCAGCATAATGCACAAAGGAAGGAATAACTGAACGTCCACATATGCAGTTCTCTGTTTTACTGCCAGCTTCCACTAACCTTTTATCTGAAAATCATTTTGGTGGAGCAGAGGAAAAGCTCTAGCACAGTCAACATTAGTCTTGGCTATAAAGAACTGTTCAATGCCTTTCCCAGCAAGGATTGGCACCATCTGCGGAAGCACTTCGTTACCTGAGAGAGCTGTCAAACAGACTAACATAAGCTATCACTGGAGCACAACGGAGGAAAGCCTCTCAGTAAGCGGGTGCAATTGCATCTGAAAGTCCATATACACAAGCGAATAACACAGTGCAAATGAGACACACTGTCTGCCTATACAACACTTTTCTCATCCATACAATTGGTAAGCCAAAAAGACCCAGCTCTTCTTGCTGGAAAGCAGGAGGCCTAATGCAGCTAGATGGTGGCATCTACTAACGCCAACCTCTTCACACTGAATAAATATCAAAACTCCAACTTGACAGCATGATAGCCTTCCATAACCTCAACAGCTAGAGAGCATGTCATAACCATCAAAAATCAGGAAGAGGAAAGGCCTGGATATACAGTAGGAAAGAAAAGACACCTGAGTGGTCTTCTCCTGGAGACTATGTCAGCTTTCTGGATGAGGTAACAGAAAAAAGAAAAATAAATGGAAAAAAAGCTCTCTCATATACAAGTACCTAAATGCCTCATCATTACATTTTCTCAATGCGTAGATTCCTTCCTCAAATTTACTGTAGTGCTTTTAGCATTTCTTAAAATAATATGAAAATTTACCAGTAGACGAGGAAGCTAAATGTACACTTATAACTTATGAATCAACGACCAAAAAGCAAAAGTTGCATACACGCTCTAAGCAGAAAGATCTCACTCACATTTAAAACAGTTCAAGTTTTCTCAGGTATATTTAAAACTGGAGCACCTATTTCTGAGAATATAAAGAAAAAAAATCTTAACTCTGGCTCTGACTTGCAAGTAAAATGTTATATTTTTTGAAAGCATTGTTATGCATTGATGGCTTTGCTTTATTACAAAATATGACATAAACTGTAATTTTTCACTTAGCTTGAAATCAATGTTTTGTCATTCAGGAAAAAAGAATTATGTATTTCTAAAATATGCAATGTTTAAAATATGATTAACATGTTAATGTGTATTTAGTGTATTCTTAATGATACCTTTGACTTTACAACATAACATTTTATTCTACACTACATATATTTTTTAAACAGTGGAAACTAAGACTGGGAAGGTATACCTTGGTTTTTTATTCATTTTCTTAAGTGATTTAGAAATACAGATGTGAATGTCTACTGTCTTCACTGTCTATAACTTCAGAGTCACCTGCTGAGATTATCAACAGCACTGTAAATAAAGACAATCAGAGAGTTACTTGTACCTAAACAATTATATCCTTTATCATAATCGTGAGTTGCCACATGACTTTCTTATCATGACCATTAAATTCCAGAAAGATTCCATAGAAGAATCTTCAACGTAACTGAAGTGAGTTTCAGCTAAACAAACATTACAGTGACCTGCAAGGTGATTTGGCATAGTACTTTGAAAGGAAACAAAATTGCTTAAAGTGGAAAATGTCAATCAACTCTAAATGGATGGAACATGTACAGAGACCTGAAATGTTAAGTACGGCTCTCTTACAGCTGACACATTCAGGAATGCTTGAGGGAACTTCACCCATTCAAGTTCATGGGACTCAAGAGGCTGCATCTAAGGGTGCTGAGCAGACTGCCCAGTGCTCTTGCAAGGTCTGTCTCTGTCACCTCTGACACCTTTGGATATCAGGGGAGGTTGCTCACAACTAGAAAAAGGCAAATGTTGCACCCATCTTCAAAAGAAGGCCAAAAAGGTCACGTTGGGTAACTTCAAGCTGGTCAGACGGATTTAGACCAAAGGAAAATTACAGAACAAGTCCTCCTTGAACACATTTCTGACCACAGGAAGATGATGATCAGGAACAGTCAGCATAGATTTATCAATGATAAATCATGGCTGACTGGCCTAATTGCCTGTTATAATAAAATAACTACATAGGTGGTACTGGGACCTGTCCTGTTAGACATCTTTATCAAAGACCTGGAGGAGGTGATCAAGTGTCCTCTTGTCAAGTTTGCAGATGACACCAAACTCTGGGAGACAATCAATGTACTTTGATGGTAGAGCTGCCATTCAGAGGGACCTAGACAGGCTGAAGAATGGGCCAAGAGGAACATGATGAAATTTAACAAGGACGAGTTCTGCACTTGGGAAGAAAGAACCCACTGTAATGACGCAGGCTAGATACTAACTGACTGGGGAGCAGCTCTGCTGAAAACAAACCAGGAGTCTTGGTAGACAGCAAGCTGGGCAGAAGCCAGTAGTGTCTCCTGGCAGCCAAGCAGACCAACAGTAGCCTGGCCTGTATCACACGAGCACACAGTCAGTATACAACCGGAAAGGGCTGTCGCCCTCTGCTTAGCACTCGCTAAACTGCATGTGAATACTGTGTCCAGTTTTGGCTGCTCCAACACAGGAAAGACACTGATAAACAGCAGCGAATCCAGGGGAGGGCCATCAAGCTGGTCAGAGGCTGGAACACTCACACACAGGACAGGCTGAGGGAAATGGGTTCCTTCAGCCAGAATAAGAGACAGCTTGGGGGTAACACCAACTACCATACCTTTCAGGACCCATAGGGAAGTTAAGGAGTCTAGCTGTTCACAGTGGTGCATGGTGGGAGGATGACAGACAACTTACATAAGCTGAAACAAGAGATGTTCAGACAGGATATAAAGAACGTTTCCAGCATGAAATTAGTCATGGAGTGAAACAGGCTATCCAGAGAGGTTGTGTGGTCTCAATTCTTGCATGTTTTCAAGATAGAACCAGATACAGCCCTGAATACATAACCAATGTACTTCTGCTCCACTGAAGAGAAAAGCAATATCATTATAACAATGAACAGTTTCAGTAAAATGAAATTATTTACTGTCTGTGCTATTTAAATTTGATCTGTTGAGGGAAATGCACGTAGAATATGAGAACAAAACTGAAAGAAATTTCACAAACTAACATAAGGAAGTTGAACTGAATATACTGAAATTTTTTATAATGTTGGGCAAACTGCAAATTCTTGATGTTATTGGAATTTGGAAACAACTTCAAGAACTATTACAGATGTAGTTACCCAAATGAAAATAAATTGCCTAGCCAAGAACAATTCAGTATTCTGATAGTTTGTCTGAAGTTTCAGAAATAAATACATATAAAGACACAAACATACAAACACATACACAGACGCTTCTAAATATCATTTTACTAAAGTAGATTAAATTAAGTCTAGTCATTAATGAAAGTTGTCATATTTGAAATACCTAATTTATTGCAAAAATATAAATGTATGACTTTGAAATCTTACCATATTCTTTACTGTAAGGAAACACGGTCTCTTTAGTGTTTGACAGGGAACAAAGGGCTATTTTGAGAAATTAGTCAATCTATCAGGTTTGTATATTGGGGATCATTGTCAGCCTGTACTTCATTCTGTGTCTTCACATCGAGGCCACGTTTAGATCCCACATACCACATCTAAGGTGTTTTTTCCCGTACCCTCACATTGATTAAATTTTCAACACAACTTTTTGCAGTTTATATCTAAAATACTGCAGAACCTTTTGGGCTTTAGCAAATGCAATTTTGCTTTATTCATAACCATTCATAATGCCATAGAAAATATCTTTTTCCTAGTACACCACTTAGATCATAACATCTTTCTCTTTATGTCTGACTCTTGGTTGTACTTGCCCACTCCAAAAACATGGCTAGAACTTCACATTCAGGCACATGTAAGTGGCCTGAACTGAAAAGGTCCACAGTACCCAACAGTTCCCTTACTTAGTGTTTCCTTTTACAATAATAGAGAAAAACACACTAATATT